TTGTCTTCAGGAGTTCCGCGGTGGCCCAACTCCAATGTGGATCAGAAGTTTTCAGACTTTCTCCTTAGGTCTGGAATCTTCTAAGAATGCTTTTGGCCTCAGGAACTTGAGTGTTGGACTGACCTGAGATCCTGGCCATGGCCGTGCCACTCAGGGATGCAAAGGCAGATGGGGTGGGAAGAAGCCCCAAGATTTCCCAGGGAGTGGATTGAGTAGCTGGGTTGTACTGGATGCAAAGGATCAGGGAGAGTAAAGGTAAGCCTCGGAGCCCGAGAAAGAGGCTCTCAGCCCCAGAAAGAGGCTGGCACGTGTTCCAGGACCAGGGAAGTAAAGGGAGGTGAGGGTGGGGCCAGGTCCAGAAGCAGTGCTCCTGGGGCCCAAGGAAGGCACTAAGGTGGTCTGGGTGAAAAAGATCAGGAAGCAGTATTGGTTCCCCAGGTGTCTGGGGACCCAAGACTAGGAATGGCACAGGGCCTAAACTAGGAGTAGAGAACAGTGGGGGAGATGGAAGGGTGAATGAGGCTGGGGGAGTCAAGGTGCAGAGGGCTCCACGATAGACTTACCCCAAGAGAGGCCTGAGGATAGGAGGGAATATATATATTTTTAAGCCTCAGATCTGGGATAGAAAAAAAAAAATTAGGAAGCAGCATAGGTTGTGATAGTTTTTTGAGTTTTGTTTTAGAATTTTTCTTTTATGAAATTTAATAAAAACCATTAGGTGGGACTGGAGAGATGACTCAGTGGTTGAGAATGTAGAGGACCTGGGTTTGATTTCTAGCACCCACATGGCAGCTAACTTCAGTTACAGGGGAATCCAACACCCTCTTCAGACCTCCTTGGGCATTGTAGGACATGGGTGCATTTACACACATGCAGGCAATACACTCATACAGATAAAACAAAAATAATAATAAAAAATTAGGAAAACTCAAGCAGGAGCATAACCTATTCTTTAAGGACTAGTGGAATTGAAAGGTTTTAAGAATATTCTAGACATGGAAGAACGAGGAACCTAGGGTGGAGGCAGTAGTAGGAAGTTCAACACAGGGTTATCATCTGTGGCTGCACATTGGCATCACTTAGAAATATTAAAAAGGTAGAACTGATACTTGCTTATCACCTTGCAGATTCTGATTTAATTGCTTAGGAATATGGCCTTGGCAGATTTTTGAACCTTTCTAGTTGAACTAGCGTGCAGTCAAAACAGAACCATTGACTTAAAAAAGGGAATCCAAGCTGGGCGTGGTGGTGCAGGCCTTTAGTCCCAGCACTCAGCAGGCAGAGGCAGGCAGATCTCTGTGAGTTCAAGGACAGCCTGGTCTACATACTGAGTTCCAGGACAGCTGGGACTAGAGAGAGACCCTGTCTCAAAAAACAAAGGGGGGGGAATCCAGGGCTGAAAAGAATCTTTCAGTCCCACAGTGTCTCAATCTCAAATTCTCTCCATTTAGGATAAGTTGGAGTTTGTTATAAAGAATAAATATGGTATTGTGGATGTTCCCTATAGGATTTGACACTTTTTAAAGATTTGTGATTATTTAGGATATCTGGTAGGAAACAAAAAAAGACTCAATGAGTCTCCTAGCATCTGGACAGAATGGGTAAGATTCACGTAGTAACAATAATCCCAGCAAAACGCTGTAGATAACTGTATTTCATTGCAATTATTGAACAGGTTGCCTGTGATTTGCTTCGGAGAATTATTCGCATCCTGTATCTTAGTAAGAGACTCCAGGGACAACTGCAAGGAGGAAGTAGAGAGATAACAAAAGCTGCTCAGAGTCTTAATGAACTGGGTAAGTCCTTTCTTGACTAAAAGTTTGACAATTTTAGGTCACTTAGTTTGTAGACTTTTGTTATTAAACAAATATTACACAGCAATTTAAAAAACCCAAAAAACAGAAACTGGCTGTGTTAGTTCAACATTATTGTTATACTCCAGAATGAGTGAGTAAAATTGGATTTCTTAAAAGTGCCACTTACTTGCCGGGAGTGGTGGCACACTCCTTTAATCCCAGCACTTGGGAGGCAGAGGCAGGCGGATCTCTGAGTTCAAGGCCAGCCTGGTCTACATAGTGAGTTCCAGGACAGCTGGGACTACAGGGAGACCCTGTCTCAAAAAGAAAAAAAAAAAAAGAAAAAAAAAGTGCCACTTACTTTAGAAAATGCTCATACAGTAAAATTGGCCCTTTTCATCCATAGGTTTGTAAACTTGAAAACATATAAAGAATTGTGTTGCTATGATCACAATCATGATACACGGACACTTCCGTTACCTGGAAAATGTGCTCATCACTTTGTGATCACAACTGTCCCTTCTTCCTAACCTTGGCAACCATCATCTTTTCTCCATCAGTATGTTTTTTTCTTTTTAAGAATGACACATAAGTAAAATCATAAAGTATGTAACTCTTTGTGGCTGGCTTCTTGTACCCAGCTTAGTGCCTTTGAGATTTATTCAAATTGTTGGGTATAACAATAGTTATACATTCTATGATGTACTGTGGATTTGTTGTTGTTGTTTTTGATTCACTCACTGGCTGAAGGACATTTGAGTTTTTGTTGCTTTTAGTGATTATGAATAGAGCTGATGTAAATACTTGTAACAGGTTTTGACGTTAGCTTTAGTTTTCATTTCTAGAGAAGAAATATCCAGGAGGAATACTATTTTTAGGTGATTAGTCCCATATTGCTATTTTATCTAGATTTCTTTATTTGTTCATCCTTTTCTAGGATATTTAGAATAGACCTTTGACAGTCAAGGGTTTAGAGTTGATGGCTTTGCCTGGTAGGAAGATTCAAGTTCCCTAATTTTTCAGGGAAAACTTTGAATAAGTAGTGAGTACACATAGAAAAGGCCAGCACTTGGTCTTTCCTGAGACTTTGTGGGTTTCTTTTCATTGGGTACCCAGTAATGTTTTTAAAGTGGATATATTTGGTTGCATTTATATTCTTGATAGATTCAGAAAGACTTTCTTTGATTATACTCTTAAATATCAAGAGTTTGATTACTCTTGATAATATGCTTTCAAAATAGTTATGCCAAAGTAACACAGGAAAAAAAAAGTGCTTTATGTGTTCTTTCTGAATTTTCCTGTCTTTCTGAATTTCAATTGCAAAGTATTGCTGTAGTGTTTATGCTATATTTTTACTGATTGAAGAAATATATCTTTCACAAGTCATGCTTCAGCATTTCAGTTGTGTGATGCTTAAATGTAGATTTTGGTTAGGCTCATCTCCAGGACATATCTAACCTGTTTAGTATGCTGGAATGTATTACATCAAAAGTTAATTTCTAAGCAATGAGTAATGCTTGAGTGTTGTTTTCACAATGTATTCTAAACAACTGTGTAAATATCCTAGTATCCACTGTGATGCTTTACTCAATCATATTTAATTTCTGTGTTATGAAATTTATATGTAGGATCATAACCATTAAACATAGATAAAATTATTCCAAGATTTATTGTGTGCATTTATCATCAATGACAGTATATCGTTTTTAAAAATAGCCAAATTTTTATTTGATCATTGTCTTTTAGAATTAATAGATGTGGTAATATAAATAGTGATGTGTTCTGTTAAACCTATTCTAATGTAGTATTGGTTTTACTAAAAAAATATTATAAATATTAAATGTTAAAAGGTTGTTGAAAATACAGTTCATGGCAGAATTTTCTTCTGACCTCCATGGGGGCCTGCATACATGCATTGCATATACATACATACACTCAGGCAAACACACATACACATAAAATTTTTAAAGATTAAAAATTAATACTGTATAAGTTTTGTATGATTTCATATATGTAAAACTTTATTTATTTATTTTACCAGTGTAATTCAATTTTGACCAGTTTTGGCACTGATAATTAGTAAAGAGAAGTCAGGAAAGTAATACATTTTCTCAATATATTTGAAATCAGTATTTTAATAAAAGGAATATTTTTTTCAGTCATGATTACAATTACACATATATATCAAATGATATTTCAGTGATTAGAGCATTTCTAAAATTATCAGTGTCTGTATCTTTGTGGATCTAGTTCTGGTTCTTCTTATGTCACAAGACACAATGAGTTCACTCCTCAGTGAGTAAAACACCAATAACAGCAACTAAGAGATAAAAGAATGAAGTTTGTTACCTGCAGCAGGTAAGGGGAGGACTGGAGCCAATTCAAAGCAGTGTCTCCCAATACATATACCTAGGAGGTTTTATGGAAAAGACCCCTTCCCAGTCATATTGGAAAGATTTCTTTTCACATGTAGAAGTTAGCACATTCCTAAGTACACTCATTTCAAAATATGCTTCATTCATTGAATAGTCAAAAATGGTACATAAGAATACCTCTGGGACAGATAATTTGGCATTATAATAAGATTATAATCTACAAATTTCTATACTCTTCAACCCCTTATGTCCCATTTCCCTAGCTTGGGCCCCACCATCAAGATCAACTCATTGATGATCAGTTACCGCTCAATAGCACCATCAGCTGGAACCAAGCCATCAACACATGAACCTTCTGGGAGATACTTCCTATCCAAACCATTGTTATAAGATGCTGGTTTACAATCCAGAACATTAACTTACAAATATGCAGTGAAATAATGAAATGTTAGCCTTTGGACTGAAAGCAGTTACCTTTTCTCTTTGCGCACAAATTCATAATAAAAAAAAACTTGCTTGTTATTTGAGTTAAATCCATTAAAGCTTCTGTTGGTTCAGATCTTTGATGAAAACTGATTAGTCTGATGCTTACATCTTCATATTAGTATGACTGTTTTATTTAGAATATGCAATTAAAGTCTTGGGTCATGAGGAACCTTCTGTTGGGCAACTGCTAACCACTTGAGCCAGTTTTTATTCCTTAGGCTTCCTATTGCTAACTGTCTTCATTTTGTCCACACAATTTTCTCCAGTCAGAACACAACAAAATTGGGTAGATATTGGCCGCCAATTAAAATTATATTTATTGCTTTGTACACTTATATTCTAGACATGAATTGGAATTTTGAGTGTTTCCTAAATTTTAGCCATTCATTTTATCTTGAGTGTTTGAATTATTTTCTACTAATAGCACTGCTAAAACAAATTTGTTAGTATTTTGATGCTTCTACTCTGTAGGTTAATGTGATAAGCCATACCTCTTAAAATATTCATGTTTTCTTAGCTGAAATATACGTGGTGGCACGTGCCTTTAATCCCAGCACTCGGGAGACAGAGGCAGGCAGATCTGTGAGTTCAAGCCCAGCCTGGTCTACATAGTGAGTTCCAGGACAGCTGGCGCTACAGGGAGACCCTGTCTCAAAAAGATAATTAAAAAATACATATTATATATGTATATATAATACATAATAAT